CCCTAAGATAGAAGAGTTAAAGAGTCTGGCTTATCTGATTTACATTCTTGAGGATTTCAAAAATGAATATGGAGCGCTTTTTTCAATTTTGAGTGTCAACATGAGGGACGGTATTCTCACTACGTTGGTTCAGTTCTATGATTTGTTGTACCGGTGTTTCACCTTTCGGATTGTTAGCTTATTCATACGCTAGATGAATACTCTTATCTGCTGGATCATCCTATTACTGATCATGTTCCTTTATCTGGTTTGGAAGAAGAGCCTAAGTCTCAAGATATTGCAGCAGTACTCACCTGAAGAAGTCAGAGGTTAAAGCTCATATGACTACTAAAGGGGGCATTAGGTGTTTTCCTGCTAAGTTCTTGCTGGAGAAAGCTCGTCACTTTGCTACGATGAATAGTATGGACTCTTTTGAGGCCATATTTGCTCTACTAACCTATGGGTTATTCTTGTTTTCTAATTTCTACAATTTTATTGATGTTAATGCTATTAAGATCGTCTTGATTAGGAATCCAGTCACCACGCTGCTTGAAGATGCTTATTACTCTATTCACCTTTGAAATTCTTATCAAGAATGGATGATTATCTGCTCTGCGCCATTATTATACAAGTGGTTTATTTCTCACTTGCCCCGACCTGTTTCCTTTTGGGATCTGAAGAATGAATTATGTTGGTCACAGAAGAGTATGGCTCTTACTCATTCTGACATTATATGGTATAAGCAAGATTATTATGGAGTAAGGATTATTGATAGCTGTGGAAGTTTTCCCAATTTACCTCTTCTTGGTACAAAGGGAGGTATTAATTACAACCATGTTCTAGCATGTTGTCAACTTAGGTATCCGATGAGGGATAAACCAAGTAACATTCATGTGAGTGGTTTCTTTCTCAAGGAAGGAGAAGACAACAAAGCATCTAAGGAAAGTATTGTTAAAGCCTGGCGCCATATCCATAGGAAGGGAAGATAAACCTTAGGGCCAAGAGGTGATGTTTCTTTGGATCCTCATATTCATTGGGTACAAGCAAGGGAAATTCAGTTGAAGATCCCTTATCCTCGTCAAGAACCCTTAGCTGCCATTTTTGTGGAGCCTACTCCTCATCTTTTGGATGATGTTGAAGAACTTCAACTTGCATTAGTTAGGATGCAACAAGAGAAGGATTCTTGGAAGAATAAGTACCAGACCTTAGATGTATCATACTCAACACTTCAAGGGAAGTTGACATAGAAAGATGACTTCATTGAGATTCTTGAGCGACATTCTGTAGAAAGGATGGGAGAACAAGATGATTTATTTTCCTCTAGCATTCAACCAGGGATCCATGTTCAAGACTACTCTCACATGTTTCCTACTTCAGGTGGACAGAAAAGAGTTGTTGACAGGTTTGTGGAAGAGAATCAATAGTTGAAAGATCAGATTATGAGGCTCAAAGGGAAGCGTCAGCGTGGAGAGGGATCTTCTTCAGCCTTGGCTCCTTAGGAATTTTAGATTCTATTTTCTTCTCTTGTATTTAGAATTATTGAAACTTGTACTAAAGTTGTAATCCTTCCCAAATTATTAATGAAATGAGGTTATTCAGTATTTCAAAAATGTGTTATTCCTTTGATATTTGTAATTGTTTATAGTTCTTTAAGTTCCTTGTAAATTAAATAAACAAAATGATCACGTGCATTGCATATCATGCATCATTTTATGCATATTTTTGAATTCTTATATTTTTCTTAGGTATCTTATCCATTTCTTTGCTTCTTCCAGTCAACAAGTTGTCACACTTTTATAATACTTGGGCTAATTGCAAGAAGAACATGGACAATTTGGAACAAGAGAATCGCAAGTTGGGTGAAGAAGTTATTGCTTTAATAATCGGAATGACCAATTTGACTGCTTTGGTGGAATCTCTGGTGGTGGCTCAGAATCAGCCACCACCTCCGCCACCCGTTTCTCCTCATGTTACTTAACCACAACAGACTACTATTATCTCCGAGATATTGCCAGTTCTTGTCTCTACTACTCTTTTTATTACTTCTCCTCAATTCTATATGCCTAGTGTCTATCCACGGGGTATGCCATAAAATTTTATGCCTGAAGGATATAACCTGGTTGCTCAAGTTTCTCATCATGTTCATCCCGTCGTGGTTTCTGCACCGCCTGTTGTGCACACTATCCCTGTTGTTAATGATAAAATCTACCATGTTGCTGCTGCACCAAGTGAAAACATGGGTTTTTATGACAGAATGGATGATTTCCAAGATTAGTTTAATGAGATGCAGAAGGAGATGAAGGCTCTCTGAGGTAAAGAATTGTTTGGGCATAATATTAGTGATCTTTATTTGGTCCCCAATGTGAAAGTACCCGTTAAGTTTAAGGTTCTGGAGTTTTAGAAATACAAGGGAAACTCTTGTCCTCGTGCTCGTCTAGTGATGTTTGTAAGAAGGATGTCCGCTCACACTGAAGACCAATGTCTGTTAATCCACTTTTTCTAAGACAGTATGACCGGAACTGTGTTGAAGTGGTACGTGGGTTTAAATAATGCCAATATCCACACTTTCAATGATTTGGGAGAAGCCTTTGTGAGGCAATACAAGTATATGTGGATATGGCTCCCGATCGGGATCAATTGAGAGTTATGACTCAGAAATACAAAGAACCATTCAAAGAGTACGCGTAGCATTGGCGTGAGGTTGCTGCTCAGGTTGTGCCTCCAATGGAAGACAAGGAGATGACCAAAGTTTTCTTAAAAACTCTTGGGTTGTTTTATTTTGAAAATATGGTTTCAAGTGCTCCAATTAAATTTACTGAAATGGTTGTTATGGGTGTCCGATTAGAAGAAGTTATCAGAGAAGGACGTTTGTCGAAGGATGAAGGTTCCAATGGTACCACCAAAAAGCATGCATATGGATTCTCCAAAAATAAGGAAGGAGAGGCTAATGCTATTATTCAAGGAAAAGAGGGTAGACACTGAAGAAAGTATCACCAACACCAATAACATGTTGCCCTAGTAACTCTTGTTGCTAGTGTAACTCCAACAATTGCTGCTTACCAGTCTTCTCAAAGAGCTCATCAGCAAGCCAACCAAGTGTAAAATCTGAGAAGGTAAGCTTTTGATCCTGTTCCAATGAGCTATACTGAATTGTTTCCTGCACTGATCCAAGAGAACCTAGTGTAGACTAGGTTTCCTCCTCCCATACCTCCAAAGCTGCATTGGTATTATAAAGTCGATCTGAAATGTGCCTTCCATCAGGGAGCCCTAGGGCACGATATTGAGAATTGTTATTAGTTAAAAGCTGAAGTTCAAAAGTTGGTTAGATCTGGTATCCTGTCTTTTAAGGATGTAGGACCAAATGTGCAAGCCAATCTGTTACCTAAACATGGAGGAGGAAATGATGTGAATATGGTTTTTGGATGTCCTGGAGATTTCTGGATTTTTATATAAACCTAGTGAAGGTAATTTGGTACAGATGCATGTTGATCTCTGCGAGTTCAGTTATTATACTCATGATCCTGTAGGTTGCAGTGTCTGTAGTGAAGATGTTTGTGGGTGTGATAAAGTGAGGAGTGACCTCCAAGAGATGATGGATAAAAGTCTTATCCATATAATCCGACCAAGGGCTGAGTATGAGAATGCTAATGTGATTGAGTATTGTTCTAATGAGTTTACGACTTCTGATATTGGTACAATAATTCCCGTTAAAGCATATGCTAGGTATGCTAAAGAACCTACGATTGAAGAGCTCAATACGGTGACTCCCATAGAGATACATGAGAAATGGGTTCAAAAGGGATTGATTAATTTTAGTTGTTGTTGTTGTCCAGAATATGCAAAGAAGTCATGGGGTTGTGCTGCTTTGAGAGCTGATCTCCAGATACTAAAAAGCCTGGATTTGTTTAAAGAGGGAGCAATAGCCATCCTTGATGATAGGAAAAGAGATGCAGAATTGTCACGTGTTTCCTTGCCAATAATTGAATAAGTTTCTAATATAGAGAACGAGATTATTATTTACAAAGGAAGGATTAAGGATGTTGAGGTGAATGTTATAGTCCCACACTTTGCCATTCCCACCCCTATGGAAATTTCATACCGTGGTGAGCCTGTTGTAACTGTCCTGGTTATCTATTTACCTAGTCCGATTTCATATGAGTCTGATAAGGTTGTACCCTATAAATATCATGCAACTATTCTGGAAGGTGGCAAGGAAGTTCCAATTCAGCCTGTGTCTTGTGTTGAAAATATGTTGAAGTCAGTCATGTGACTTGGAGTGGTTGTATATTTGCTCCGACTTTTCAAAAGAGTTTTGATTTTGGTAAGAAGATTGTTGAAACTAGTGTTAAACCCAAGAAGGTAGAAGGGAAGACTAGTGGTGCTACTTTAGAAAAGGATGTTGATGATCTTCTGAAAATCATCAAGATGAGTGACTATAAAATTGTTAATCAATTGCTGTAAACTCCATCTAAAATTTCCATTTTGGCTTTGTTCATGAATTCTGAAGCTCATTGGGATTCTCTGATGAGGGTCATGGACCAAGCTTTCGTTGACCAAGATGTGTCAATTGACCAATTTAATGGTGTTGTGGGAATATTACAGCTTGCAATAATCTGAGTTTTTCTAACGAAAAACTGGCTGACGAGGGAAGAAATCATAATATGGAATTACACATATCTTTGAACTGCAAAAATGACGCCTTATCTAATGTGCTGATAGATAATGGTTCTGCTCTGAATGTGATACCAAAGAGTACTCTGTTAAAGCTTGCATATCAAGGAAATCCTATGTGCTACATCGGTATTATAGTGAAAGCTTTTGATGGTTCGAATAAATCTGTCATTGGGACTTGCTAATATATATAGGTCTGCATATGTTTTAGATCACCTTTCTGGTCATGGATATCTTTCCATCCTACAACTGTTTATTAGGTCCACCCTGGATTCATGAGGCATGAGTTGTTACATCCACCTTACATCAAAAATTGAAATTTGTCTGTGAAGGAAATGTAGTGATTGTGAATGGTAAACAAGATTTGTTGGTATCCCATTTGTCTTCTTTTAGTGTTGTAGAAGCAGATCAAGCTGCTGTTAATACTCAGTTCCAAGCTTTGTCTGTTGATAACATAAAGAAGGGTGAATATTCTATTACCTCATTCAAAGATACACAATAGGTGATTCACAAAGGTTCAAGCACTTATTGTACCCCAAGTTTAATCCTAAATTTTTTTCTCATTCGCATTCATATATCGAATTAATTTTTATTCACATCTTGACCGTTTTTCACGCATTTTTGCGTTGTATTTGTCTCGATTTAATTTTTCTACTAGATCTTATTTTTGTTCTTTATTTTTAAGAAAATAGCAAAAAAATCTATATGTCTTTTCTTTTTAATTAATTTAGAGTTAAAGTTTTATTTTAGTTTTATTTCATTTTTAATTGGTGTTAATATAATTTGTTAATATCTAATAATAAGGGCTTAATTGTCTTTTGGTCCTAACCTAAAGGATTTGGATATGGTTTTGTGTGGGTGATATAACAAGGATCACGATAAAGCGGAGAACCCATAACAACTTTCACCTCCATCAAATCGAACTCCCTTAACCTCTCCATAATACCCTCAAACTCCTGTTTCTGCGTGATACTTCCAGTCTCTCTATCTTCGAAATCACCGCATAAACCTTGCAACACCACCTCTCCGCCATCATCGTGCGATCACAGTTCCGTTGTGCGATCACCATACTCTCTTCACCGTTCCGCCAACAACTTCAACACTCGTCACCATCAGTGCATCTTCCGGACAACCTTGCTCCATCACAAGCTCATCCGCTTCCCTCTGTTTACAACTTCCGACTCTGCTCAGCAACATCCTCCGCTTCATCAATCGCGTTCTCCTCCCTAACCACCGTCCGCACCATCTGCTTCAGCCAGCGGCTCACCTCCATGCGGTAGTCTCTTCATCATCTCACCAACAACCGAAGTAACATCCTCTTCCATCTTCTCCAAATTGCTGTGCATCTTCATTTTTCTCACCGTCAATTTTGCAACAACTTAATATTCCTCCAGTCCCGGTTTCAAAACGGTAATCTCGACTCCATTTCGGTTTTGTTATTTGTTCTGATTTACTGTGATAATTCTATTAAAACACAGTGATGTGGTAGTGTGATTTTGTTTGAGTTAGAATGTTATGCCGCTGGTGTTAATATTGATGAGTTAATCTGAGTTAGTGATGTTTATGTTCAAATCTGGGATAGGTTGATCATGCTTGCTGCATTTGTGTTGGGATATTACGTTGTTTGCATTAATATCATATTGTTTGTTTGATCTGAATGAGTGTTTCGATGTCGGTGTTATTTATTTTGTTAACTCAAATTCTGCTTACAATACCATGTTAACTGATTGAAATTTGAATGACAACATCACTTTATCGGTGGTTAATTTCGAGGGAAGTTTTAATGACAACACTTGTGATGGATTGATTCTTGAGTCGAATTTTTTGTTATGTTATGATACTTGAATTGATAGAGATTTGTTGGTGTGTTGTGTGTCGATTAGTTAGAATTTAAGCGAAAAAATTGGTTTTGGCATCGTTACATGTTCCGTTCATGCTTGATCGGTTTGAAATGTTTGCTTTTGAGCATTTTTAAGATTACATAGTTGTTGTCTGGAATTTGGTTCGGTTGATTTTAGACTTATTTTGAACTCGATTTTTCATATTGTAATATGAATGCTCGCTTGTTGTTCCATTTGGGGTTTGAAAACTGTGTTTACTTTTGAGTTTAATTGAATGAATATGCTTGAAACAATATGTTGAATGCTGGTTTTTTTTTCCGTGGGGATTTAAGTGAAGTAATAATGCGAAATCTTGATCTTTGTTTTATTTAGTTTTCCATTCACTTGTGATCACTAACTTGTTTTTTGGTTTATGCAAGTTCTCGAGACGACTCAAGTGGTTACTTCCGCTTCACACCTTTTATTCACTTTCGATTGATTAACCAAGTCTTGATTCATTTAGTTGGTGGTTTAGTTACTAAAAATTAATTAGCCTTGCTAATTAATTTTTCTTAACTTATTCAATTAAGTTTAATCAATTCTTGATTAATTGATTAAACTTTCACTTCATATTTCGTTTATCTTGGTTTTGTGTGATTGTGCTATTTATTCAATTGATGCGAGAATTAGAATTCTTATCTGATACTACAAGCTTATCTGGCACTTTATGCTTGTAATTTATTTTCACATTGATGATGATTCGACGCTTATTTCGAGCATTTGATTTCTGACTCTTTTCTTTGTTGGTGAAGCTTTCGCGAAGATCTTCGGGTTTCTTTTGCTTTGATTGCTCTTTGCTATGGATATTATTGTTCGTTTGTTATTTTTGCTAATCTTGTTTATATTCCGCATTGTCTTTTCGATTTCCTTGCCATGAGAAGTAGGAATAGAAATGTATGCCTATAAGTCTCTATTTTAGGTGGGTAATTCAGTTTCAAGTCCTCAAAGGAGGCAATGTTTGTGCTTGTTTAAAGACCTCAAAAGGAGGCAATGTTTGTGTTTGTTTAAAGTTCTCAAAAAGAGGCAATTTTGCTAAAGTCTTCAAAGAAAGCAATTTCCCTTCCCTTTTACCGTGTGCTTGCAATCGAGTTAATAAGTGGAGCAAATGACTCGCAATCGGCTCCCACACTTTCTAGTTTGTGTCGTTCTTAGCTCGCGTTATACGTTGATGCTTTGAACTATGTTTATTCTTGTCTATTGAGTCAAATAAAGTGAAAAAGGGTTCGTAACCAACTCCCACACTTTCTCATTCGTTTCAACAATGTTAGCTCACGTCTCTTTAAACGTTGATGCTTCGAGTTATTACTCGATATCAGTGCTTGAGTAAATCAAGTGAAAAAAGTTTCTTACTCCCAAATTAAAATTCATTGAATTCATTGTTTGTTGTTAGCTCGCACTTGATTTTTATTTTGGTTTTGGTTTGACTTTGTTCGATTGCACTTGTGTTTGTGCTTTTCTTTAGACCTTTGCATGTTCCCTTAAGATTGTTTGTTTCGTTTTCGATTGAAGGTAGACATTAGGTATGTAAACCATGCATGCTAACTTAGATAGATGTTTCCCCTCTGTATCCAAACTATAGGACCACCATTGCATGATAACATTAGGATTGTTAGTCCCCCTTAGACTTTTTCATTCTCCTTTTACATCTTTAAAATAAGACTTCTTTTCTTACTAAATGCTAAACCACATAAGCATATTCTAACATTTTCAAAAAGACTAAAAAATATTCAACTTCATTCAAATCTTTTTCTACGCTCGAGCACATTTTACCTTTAAAACCTTTTTCAAGATAAAACATGATTCATTTATAATCGAGATGTTCTTCCTCTATTCCTATGGTTGTCGACTTTTTCACTTGAGTACTAGAGGTGTTCTCGAACTCTCCCTCATGTTGGTGCGTAGTCCTTCTTTCTTTATCATACCTTGTGGTATTTAGATGAGTTTTCTCATTAAAAATGATGACTTGTCTCTTCATTTAAAATCAACCAACAGATAAGTCTTTTCTAGAAGAATTACGAGTACCTTGATTCTCTACTGCATAAAAGGTAGTACGTAGGCACTAAAGGTTCGCAACCGCGACAGATACAACTAATATAACCTTTTTTTTGTACATACAATTTGCGTATATGCATTTTCCCTTTGATTAGCTTTAGATATGAGCACACCCTTTGATTAGAACAACATGATTGAATTCTATGGAGTACCACAAACGTGATGGGTGCTAATACCTTTCTCTTGCATAATTGATTCCCGTACGCGATCTCTCGATCGTAAGACCGTGATTTCTCCCTTCAGGTTTTTCTTTGATGATTTTTCTTTCCCTTCCTTGGGATAAATAAATACTCGATGGAGACTTCATTGATTTTCTCTCCGTGATTTTGAGTCGCTTGCCTCAGTAGTGTGTGGGGACAGATTATTGATTTACTCAAAAATAAGAACATGACAGGTTTGGGTTTCTCTCTGAAGAAGGATAAGAATGAGGTGGTGAAGCCAAAGTCTGCTTCCCATCCATATCAAGATGATCGACGCTATTATTGAAGATGAACCAGAGCAGGAAATGTCAAACTTTATAACGCCTGAAGTGAGAGTTCAATATTGGATCACTATGGATGTTCTCAATTGCATTCACTTATCAAAGTAATTTATTTTTGCTTATTTTTCAAAATCCTTTCACTTTGCCCTAGGTGAAAGTGATATTGTATGAACCTGTCTTTTGTTTTGAATTTTAAAACCATGAATAAAAGTTGTTTTTGATTTCCAATCATTTTTTTATTTCCTTTTTTTTTTTGGAAAATGGTAATAAAAAAATCTTTTCAAAATGAAAATTGTAAATAGATCTACATAATTAACTGTTGCATTTATTTGTTTCTAAAATCAAGCATAATTATATGTATAGATTAATTAAAAAATTCATTGAAAACAATGACCCCGCGTCCTCTCCCAACTTTGAATATCTTGTTCATGTGGCTGAAGAGAAGAGTTTCATGAAATTCCAGAAGAGGTTTCTCGATTGCTTGAGCACGAGGTGAATATCATTCAGCCGTACAAACAACTATTAGAGATTATTAACCTGGATTTTCGAAGAGGATTTGAAGGAAGTCAGAATTAGGGCACTAATTCATCCCGATGTAAAGAGCGGGTTGATTGAGTTATTGAAAGAATATGTGGATATCTTTTTTTGGTCCTATCAGGGCATGCTTGGGTTAGATAACGATATTGTGGAGCATTACTTGCCATTGAAGCCCGAATAATCACCTATTAAGCAGAAGTTGAGAAGGACACACCCTGACATGGCATTTAAGATTAAAGAGGAGGTATTGAAAAATATTGATGACGGTTTCCTTGTGACGTCAGTGTATCCATAGTGGATTGCCAATATTGTTCTAGCTTCAAAGAAAGACGAAAAAGTCTGCATGTGTGTTGATTATAGAGACCTGTATAAGACTAGTTCAAAAGATGATTTCCCTCTGCCACATGTTAATATAATATGTTGGTAGATAGCACAACAAAATTCAAAGTGTTTTGCTTCATGGACGGATTTTTCAGATATAATCAAATTAAAATGGCTCTTGAGAACATGGAAAAAACAATGTTTATCACACTCTACAGAACATTCTATTACAAAGTGATTCCCTTCGAGTTAAAGAATGCTGGTGCAACCTACCAGAGAGTTATGACAATCCTATTCCATGATGCATAAAGAAATCGAGATATATGTTGATGATATGATCGCCAAATCTCAGACCGAGGAAGGCCATTTGGAAGACTTGTTGAAGTTGTTTCACCGTTTGAGGAAGTATCATCTCCGCTTGAATCCTAATAAATGTACGTTTGGTGTTCACTCTGGATAGTTGTTAGGCTTTATTGTTAGCCAGAAAGGTATTAAAGTTGATCCTGATAAAGTTATGACAATTCAAGAGATGCATGCACCAAGAATTGAGAAGCAAGTCAGAGACTTCCTTGGGCGTTTGAATTATATCTCCAGGTTTATTTCTCACATGAATGTAACTTGTGAATCAATTTTTAAGCTTTTAAATAAAGATCATGGTTATGTATGGATAGATGACCGCCAAAAGGCTTTTGATAGCATCAAAGAGTATTTGCTTGAACCTCCTATCTTGCTCCCTCCCGTTGAAGGAAGACCATTGATAATGTATTTGACTATGTTGGATAGTTCTATAGGTTATATTTTGGGACAACAAGATGAAACTGGAAGAAATGAGTATGCCATTTATTACCTAAGTAAGAAGTTCACTGACTGTGAGTCATGGTACTCTATGCTGAAAAATACATGTTGTGCTTTAGCCTGGGTGGCGAAGCGTCTACGAAAATATATGTTGAATCATACTACTTGGTTGATATCCAAAATGGATCTAATTAAATATATCTTTGAAAAGCCCGCTCTTATTGGAAAAATTGCTTGTTGGCAGATGCAGTTGTCCAAATATGATATTGAATACGGTACTCAGAAAGCTATTAAAGGAAGTGTGTTGGAAGAGTACCTTGCCCACCAACCGGTTGAGGATTACTAGTCTGTCAAGTTTGATTTCTCTAATGAGGATGTGACGTATCTGAATGTCAAAGATTGTGATGAACCATTGACTAAGAAAGGTCCAGATCCCGAGTCCCGATGGGGCATGCTGTTTGATGGAGCTGTGAATACTTATGGTAAAGGTATTGGTGTTGTGTGTCATACCCCAAATTTGTCTGCATCAATTTAAACAGTCTATTTCATTTTGGCTAGAACTATTGGTTTACTTTTATACTAATTTTTATATTTTTATACTAACAACTAATTATCTTTTTGAATTGTTTAAATATGATAGAGTTTAGTTTTGGGGAGGAGTGTTTATTTATCATTTTATCGAACAAGGATCATTATTCTAATTAAATCAAATGACCCATTAAGTCTTTACAAGGCCCATAAACGAAGTGGATAGGAAAAGGGTGGTTACTTCATTTTTAATTTTATTTTAGACATTATCATAATTATTAATATTATTATTTATTTTAATGTGTTTGACCCAGGGTCAACGTCCTTTTATCATTATTATTATTCGTTTTATTAATTATTATTATTATTGTCCATCATTATTATTTCATTTTTATTTTTGTTACTATCTAAATTTTTGGTTTTTTTGTTGACTAAGTCAACAAGGGCTGGAAGTTGCGCCCATCTCAAATTGCTTCAACCCTAAGACAGATGCAAAAGCCCAAAAATCATAATTTTGCAGAAAATCAAATATTTGATTGAAATTGATTTTATTAAGATAAAATGAATTGGTATAAGATACAATCCAAGTACACTATATATACATAAACCCTAAATCTAATTCCTAACTAAATCTATACAAATCCTAAATCAAATCTTCGATTTCTTCGTATCTAAACAGATTGAATCAATTACAGATAAATTACAATTCGTAACAACAATCAAGCATAAGGCTATTTCCTAATTCATCTATCGTAAGAAACTATAAGTATCCTAATTCTAAACCTAGTGGATGACCGAAAATATGAGAAAAGAGAAGAATGAGCATAAGTCCTAAAGCGTTTCTTGTTCCTTGATGGGAATCTCATACCTTCCTTGGTACCTGCGAAAGAAATAGAGAAAAGGATTAGAAGAGTTTGGAAAGAAGTCAGAGAAGTAATTAAATTACGATAAGTGTCACTACAAGGATGATAAGCCTCAAACTTAGCTTAGGTTTTTGTGGTTGTTTTTGTTATTGCTTGAATCAATTGGGTTTAATTGCTGGGTTTTTGGAAATTTTTGGGATTTAGGGTTAGGGTTCTTAGGTTAGGGTTATGGTTCCTGTGTATAGGGTTAAGGTTCATCTGGGTTTATGTTTCCGGGCTAGGGTTCATCCTTTAAAGGGTTAGGGTTCTAATATTCATAGGGTTCTAAGGGTTTTGGGATGAGAGGCAGTGGTTTTCTTGGTTTTCATGAATAACCACGGGCGAAAGCGATTTCTGGCTGGCGGTGGACGGTGGTGGTGATTTCCAGTCATCAAAAACTTAGAGAGAGGTCAAAGCGTGTTTTTTAGTGAGAGAGAGAGAGGTTTTTGTATAACGATTAGAGAGAGAGAGATGATGAGAAAATGAAACAATGGGGATGATTTTGGCTTATATACTCCTCTGACCCGTCCCTGATGCATTCCACCTGGTCCCTTGAGGACCATGGGATCAGGTGACCATTGATTGGTCACAATACGCTAATCCCTATTGCACACCTTGGTCAACATCCCATTGTGGTCGTCCATTTGTCCTACTTCGAATCAACGCCCCAGGATTAACTCCTGAGGTTCCTTTTGATTGAAATTAAACATTCCAAATCTCACCGCCTCACCATAGGTTCGTAGTCTCACCCACACCATACCCAACAGGCTCAACAAAATCGCCTGGGTCTAAGCCCTTGCTCTTGACACACCCTTTTTACTACATCAATTGAAAAATACACCCCTCCCACAGTTTTGGTCTCTAAACAAATTCTGGGCTCAACCCCTTACTATCAATACCCCTATAAATTACTATACTGGAACAAAATACACCCCTGTTATTTTAATAAATTTAATTTATTTATATTTTTGGTTTATTTATTTATTACCTTTATTTTTTTTTCCTTTCTATATCATTTTTTCCCTTTGCACTAAAATAACATTTTTTATTGATAAATACATATTATAACAATTTTTACAATTACTAATTATTTTCTAAATTACTAACCTTTTTTTTAATTCATTCAAAACCTTTTTACTAACTTCAATATTATTTCATTCAAACATTTTCAAATGTATCATGCATTTTAAAATAGCTAACTAATCTAAAATTTGTTTTTTTACTAACTTAATTCTAAGTCAATATTATTTTCAAAAAGTGGATTGCGAACTTGCTTTCTAATTAAACTTCGAACTACGTCTACGACTACACAACTTTCAAACCCGGACGAATTTAAAAGAATCGTTCCAATTACACAATCCTATAAAAAAACTAACCAAACCATACAAACTACGAAATAAACTTTGATTTCTTCGCAAGAGGATATGTAGGCACGTGGTTAAAACCACGACGAGTCCCTTAACTAAAAAATTAAACCTTTTCTTATACACATGGAAATAACAATATTTAAATGGAAATTCCTGATCTACCCTAAAAACCTAAATGGGATGCCCCTTGATAACAAGGGAGATGAAGGGTGCCTAACACTTCCCCTTCATCTAACCAACTCGCAAATCTAGAATCTCTAAACTAAATTACGGTTATCCGTTATTCCAGTCCTTACGACAAAAAGTAGTGGTGGCGACTCATATTTTTAGTCGGTTACGACACTGTGATTATCACTCTCCATGGTTCCCACACCCCTTTCACTGAAAGATTTATGTTTGATTGTACCAATAACATGGAAGAGTATGAAGCTTGTATTATGGGTCTTGAAGAAGCTATGGATATCAGAATCAGGATTCTTGA